CTCTCTCTCTCTCTCTCTCTCTCTCTCTCTCTCGCTCTCTCTCTGGACGTGGACATACGTGGGTCCAGCCGCAGCCGCGCCGCCAGACCCGTGCGAAAGAGGCGTCCCACCGCCGCTCCGCCGCTCCGCCGCGCGCTCCGCGCCGCGCCTGCCCTTGGGTGCGTGCGGCCCTGACCTTGGCACTGTCTTGATCCTTGTCATGTGACGTGACGCGCGCGCGACCCGTGTCACGCTCTCCCTGTCTCTCTCCCCCTAAAGACCCGGTGCGGCGGCAGCGTGTAAGCCAGTTAGTACACGGCCGGTCGGAGCGGGTAAACGACGTGAAATACATACTGCGCGCACTCAAAACATACACACACACACGCGCGCGCGCGCGCGCGCGCACACACACACACACACGCACCCATACACTGCGTACAAGAGGCAAATACCGTAATAACTCCCCCCTCTCCCCATTGGCCCTCTGTTGTACACGAGCATGTACTCTCTTAACTTGGAGACCTAAATTACTACTAAATTTCAGAGCACTTGCAAAAAGAAAGAGAAATAATAGAGAAACAAACCGTGAACCTAAAATCTTGCCGTTACATCGTCTGCACGCATGGGTGCTGTAAGTTATAAGTAGCCAGGATCTGCGGCCATGCGGCGGTCCTTGGGATTGAACATAAAGTACGTCCGTTTTCCTACACTCGTTCGGCAAATTACGGCAGCTCGGCGCCTGCAAGCCTCAGGGTTGTCCACTCCGCAGTGCACGCATGCCATACAGGCAGGATGTTGCCTACCTAACAGGCGTTAAAAGAGCTGGCAGAGGCTGATCTTGGCAGTAACGGCGAATGATGTCCGTACTTTCTGGACAATCCCTTAGCTCAATGCTGGAGCTAGGAGCGTGACGAAAATTTCGCTGTAATTACGTGCCATTATCTTCGCGAGCACAAAAACGAATCGGCCGACTGGAGATCATCCAGAAAGTACGTTCTTCATTTGCCCTTATGAAACTGCCAAGTTCAGACAATGCTAGCTTTTATATAGCGCCTGATGGGTAGGCAAAATTTTGCCTACAGTGCATGGGCGTACTGCGGGGTGGCCTACCCTGAGTCTCGCAGGCGGCGAGCTACCGTAATTTACCGAATGAATCTGACAAAAACGGACATACTTTCTAAACGATCTGATTAAGACCCTTTAAACAATAATTATTTTAAAGGGCGTAATTTGTAGTCTGTGCCGTATAGCACTTATTCACTCACTCACTCACTCACTCACTCACTCACTCACTCACTCACTCACTCACTCACTCACTCACTCACTCACTCACTCACTCACTCACTCACT